CACAAGCTTTTTAAAACAAAACAAAAAAACAACAACTTCCAAATGATTTGACTTTGGTAACAAACAAGACTGCTAACTAATACTACTAGTAGTTAGCAGTAGAAGTAGTAGTATCCTATAACAGGATATTGCTAGATAATCATAACAATGATAGACAGAGTAAGATAAAAAGCTTTAGTTTTATATTTAAGAGAATAGTAGGAGTTTGAATGCGTGTGCAAATATGCAGAAAATATATATGTATATATGTATAAAGTTGTTGCTACAAAAAGAAAAAAACTAAGCAAGAATTTAGAAAGAGAAAAATATTGAAAACTACAAAAGTGTAAATGTGCATAATTAATTAAATATAAAATTCATTATACTCAAAACCCCCACCTCTGCCCCTGTAAATATGCTGAGAAATAAATCTTAATATTTAAATTTTTGCTAAAATTTTCTTTTTTTTCAAATCTACTTTGCATGTATCAAACCATAACATGACAGGTATCTATTTTATATAGAGAGAAAAAAAAGATTTTTTTTTTAATTTTTTATATATTTTAAGAGTTTAAATATATAAACACACACTTGTATACATTTGTATGTGAATATTGTGATACATACATACATATGTATGTATGTAAAATATATATTTGATTTTATCTTGTGGCTATTCTTTACTTATACACTTATAAACTCGAGTATATCCCGTCAGTTCGTGATGTTTGTTAAAAAAATCTAAAAAATTAAGCCTACTTTTAGGAGTATTGAAAAAATACTAATAACTCTTTAATTTTTTGTGATTGTGAAGACATTTCTTCTTGTTTTCCTAATACTTTCTTAAATTACAATAATTTATGTTTAATTTATTGTGATTACAATTCACTATAACTATTTACTGCAAATATGAACTAAATGTTGTCTGCTTCTAGGCAGTAAAGGAAAAATATTAACTAATTACCTTTTCCTAGAACAAAATTTAGTTTTAGTGGCCTTTATAGGCTTTAGGCATTAAAAAAAGTTTTCAAATGAAAAATGAAGCCTACTTTTAGGCAGTACAATATTTTTATATTGAAGTAACGCTGGAATTTTACTTTTTATAACAAATATTTACTTCACAACGAGTCCTTTAAATGGTTAGAAATTTAAGGGAAAATATTGTTTTAAAATGGATACTTTAATTCCCTTTAAAACTGCTGGGTATTAGTATATAACTATTACTATTTATCTACATACATTCATATATAAAAAAAGAGCTCATAAAATATTTATCAAATGCATTTTATGCGTCTATCAATCAAAAGAAAGGACATCCTTATGGAGTATGTATACATCTACATGCATACATATATAAATATATACAATTTGATGTATATAAACAAACATATCCTATATAGGTATATACATACTTATAGTATGAGTTCTTTTTTAATTTAAAATGCATTTTATTTATTATAATATTGTATGTATGTACAACACACAAACAAAAAAAACTATGTTAATTGAAGTGTAAAAATTAAATTAGTTTTTACACATACAATAAAACTCCTAAACACAAAAAACTATTGTGTTCATATGCAAAATATTTAAAAAAAAATATATATAAATTTTTTGTTATATATAAAAAATTTTTTTATATAAAATTCTAAACTCAATATTTTTTAAGCTTGTCAAAAACTAAATATGTAATAATATTTAGTACAGTTGCTAAGGGTTTTTATAGTTTTATTTATACATATATAAACACACACTCAAACATACATTAATTTCATAAGAAACCTTAGACAAAATAATAAATAAAATATTTATTTGATTAGAAAAATATTCTTTTTTTTCAAATTTTATAATAAAATTTAATTTGATTAGTTAGTAATTGAAAAAATATAAATTGTTTAATTTAAAAAGTTCATTTGCTAGAGTTTTACATAAGTAATGAAGGATTTAAAATAAAAATTTGCCTTAAGATAGGCTTTATTTTGTAGGCCAGCTGAAAGTATACATTATTTTGTTTTGTTTAGCAGTAAAGCTATGTGTTAGTATTATAATTATATTATATTATAATTATAGGGAATTATTAGCTTTATTTCTGTAGCTTTTAAAATGACTTGATTTTTCATTAAAAAATCTATCAATTTTCTGTCTTAAAAAAGTCAATTTTTTTAAAAGGATTCCTATAATATGTCAAAATAACAAAAATACTTTCTAATTAAGTGTTTTAAAAAAAAAGTACATATTTAATTTACACACCTTCATTACATTCCTTACTAATGGCATATGTTACTATTCAACTTTAACTGGCTGTCTGTCTGTCTGTCTAAACTATCTATATATTTATTTCACATATCAGTTGTTGTTTTAAACCTCATCAAATTGTTATTTATATACCTTTGATAGGATAATAATTTAAATTTATATATTTTTATTATTATGAATTTGTTTCTTATTTAATATATATATTTATCAAACGGGAGGGTTGCGTTTAGTTTTCAATAATCATAATAACAATTTCAGTTTTGTTTTCCATTTGCCATAATAAATAGTTAGTTATCGTTCAACAAAAAAACTATTATATTCAATACGAACTGAAAATTAAGAATTAGTTTAATGCATTTAATGCACGCGATATTTATGTATGTGTGTGTAAGTTGTGCATACATACATATATTCTCAATAATAGTAAATAATTTACACATAATATTCGTTACTTTTTTTATTATACTAAATAGATATTTTGTTATAGGAAAATGATTATTACTATTAGTTGTATATTACTTATAAACATAAACCGATTGGCACCCTTTGGAATTAATAGTAATATTACACCCAGTTTTAAAAGGAAAAAATTATCAATATTTGCTTAGCATATGTAAAAAAAGGGAGTTGAAAGTGTTAATATATTTATAACACACCTAAAGTTATATAATTTATAATAAATTCCTTAATTTTGTATGTAAAAACTAAAGAAAATGTTGAAGTTTTATAATATTAGCAGCCTAAAAGTAGGCAATAAAGCTCGTTATAAAGTAAAAAAGCAAAAAATCTGCTTTTGGTTCTTATTATCTTGCTAAAAATATTAACTTTAATATAAAACCTACTTTAAGGACCTTTTAATGCACAACCCTAAAAGTAGGCAATAAAATTTTTAAAAAAATTTCATCATATATTGAAATTTTTATAAAAATTTAAATTTTTGTTATGATAAACAGTTAAAAGCAATTTCAAATTTAAATACTTATAAAAATATGAATATGAGTTTTTGTAGAATTTAAAGAAAATACTGCATACTTTTAGGGGGTTTTACCTATTTTTAGGAGCTACATAAGCAATTTTCTTTTAAATTTCTAACTTATAGATCTCGCTAAATAAAAACCAAGATATTTTATATTAACATTCCCAAACAACATAATTTTAGCGGATTTTCCTATAAATAGGCAACAAATTTTGTTATCAAATCTCTTAAAAAAGAAAATTTCTCAAATGTTAAACAACATAATAAATTAAGAAAAATTTTAAGTTTAAATATACTTAAATAGTTAATACATAGTTTTACTTAAAGTAAACATTGCCTACTTTTAGGCACTTTTTTAGCAGTTAGATTAGAGAGGGTCCTAAACACTGGATCTTTCGAGCAGCCCGTGAGTTCACCATAACAGTTTTTAATTACGTATGAAAATAACGGTTTTGTTTGGTGAAATATTGAATATATCCTTCGGGGCTAGTGATGCAGCACCTTAGATTCTCTCTCGACGTTTCCCTAGTGTTGGACAATTTCCACAATATGTGTTCTGAGAATGACCTTCATGGCCGGGTATCCTTTTTCACAGTTAAATACTTAACTATATTACTTTGCCATTGAAAAATTTCAAGATGTTTAAACAACAATCATGAATTTTTATATTCAAAACTTTAAACTTTATATTTTAAGTTAATTTTCCCAAAAGTAGGCAGTTAGTTTTAGTGGGAAACTTTGTTACAATAAAATATTTCTTAAATACTAATTATGTTTACAATATTGAATAACTTGAAAGTCGTTTGTTAATATATAAACCTAAAACTATACAATAGTTTAAGCATATTTCTTAAATTAAGAAAAAATACTGCATACTTTAAGGTGTTTCAAAGAAATGTTGGTAAAATATAGAGTTTCTTTTGAAATTATTAAAAACTAAACTAAAAAAAGTCTGTACAAGAAATTAGGCAACATATTTCTCTAAAGTTAAAGAAAATGTTGCATACTTTTAGGCGTTTCAAACATAATTTAGTAAAAATTAGAATTTTTACGTAATAACTTTTTAAATTAATAAAGAAATGTAGCTAAATTTAGTCTCTACATTTTAAAATAACAAAATTTTTTGTATACAGCAAGATTTTTCACCCTTTTACATAAAAAAACAAATTAAAATAGATTAAATTATAAAAATATTTAACAATTTTTATTTTGTATGCATTTTTGATGTAATTATTTTAATTTTATTTTTTAAATATAAATATTGTATATAATATGAATGTTTTTTATTTTATTTTACCAATAAGCACTTTATGCTAAAGACCCTGATCTTTAATTTACTATTATAACAAATTGGCAAAAATAATTTTTAAGTTTACACACAAAAAAACAAAATTGGCTAAGAATCCAGCAATTTTAAAACCTTAGAACTGAATGTTAAAATTCCCTTCCAAACCCCTTAAAAAAGTATATAATCGGCTAAAATCTAAACAACCCATAAAACAATTGGCTTTCATACAAAAAAAATCTAAGAAAAACTTTTTAAGTAAGTATTCAGTTCTGCTGTTGTTGCTGTTGCTGCTGTAAAAAAAAAAAACAATATCAAAATTTTAAAAACCACAAAGATCTAGGTCTAAAAATCATAATATTTAGACTTGCTAGTGTTATTTAGAACAAGCATTTTGCATATTTATTACACAAATAATAATTTCTCATTATTATTCCCCAAAAAAAAAACAAAAAAAAAACAAACAAAAAATTTACCTTAAATCTTATATTACCTAAACGGCAGCTGCAGATGTACAGCAAAATCTGGGCAAATTTTTAAGTACCACACAAATTAAAGAGGAACTTAAAGAAGATGAAGATATTAAAGAGCTAGACTCAACACAACACAATAAAGATACTTTAAGCGAACACTCGGCGACAATGGCTGATAAAAGAGAAACAAGGGAAACGAATTCGCCGCCCCATAGACCCACTGCAGCTCATTTGAGCCCAGAACAAAATCATTTGTTAGTTTCTCATTTAAACAATAATATAATTAAACATCGTTCTGCCAATTCATCGCCAGCACGTTCTATACGTTCGTGGCATGATAGTGATGATGAGAATTTTATAGATGATGATGGTGCTTCCTCGATATCATCGGCCATATCGTTGACTATGAAAACCTCTAGGCATAATAGTGAATCGACTTTGTATCAGGCTTTACTCAAGAAACAACAACAGCAGCAACATCAACAACAACATCAGCAACATATGATAACAGATGCTACAGAACAAATGCCTCCACATCAAAGACATCGAACAGAACATGCAGCACAGCAACATCAGCATTCACATCAACAGCAGCAGCAGCAACAACAACAGGAGCATCAACAGCACAAACATCAACAACATCAGCAGCAACAACAACAACAATATCTAGATGAATTACAACAATCTGCTGTAACACATCAACAACAATTAACCGCCAATCTTTTGATGGCCCGTACAATAGCCTTTAGTCGTTCTCGCGACTTTCCCGAACTTTTTCAAAATCCCGCAGCCGTAGCAGCAGCAGCCGCTGCAGCTGCCACCGCCTCTGCCGCTTCAGCCAATGCTGCGGCAGCTGCTGCTTCCAGTAGCAACTACATGTTACCTTGTCCTCTTTGCGAAACTCCCCTAGAGCAGCGTGTCTTTCGCCAACATCTCGATCGTCATTATCCGCGTGATAGTCCTGTCTGTCCGGTCATCGAATGTGGTCGTCGTTTTGCCCATCCCAATTCGGTGCGTAATCATATGCGCATTAAGCATACACTCCAATGGGCGAAAATGAAAGCAATGCGTTCTTCGGGTGGACCTTTTGCGGGTGGGCCGGATTTTAAATGAAACTGTGAGGGTGATTAGTTTGAAAGCGTGTAACGTAAACAATAACATTCCAAGATAAAAAAGAAACCAAAGAACGTATACGTTTAACGTTTAGTTTTATATTGTAGACCAAAAAAAAAGGCTTAATTAAAAACAAAAGAATTCAGTTTGATAAACAAATAATCAAAATGCTTCCTTAAGGTAAAATTTAAGAAAAATAAGATATTTACAAAGATATAACAACACCGTAAATAAGTGTAAAGCAAAAAAGATATGTAGAAATATCGCCAATATGGTGATTATATAGACGAAAGTTTAGGGTAATTTAATAAAAAATTTAAACATATTTTAAAAGAGTTTCAAAATTGTATTTCAAAACATCTCTGGCTAGCGTGTGATAACTTTAAGAACTCTTCAGCATATGGTGTTCTATAAAGCTCTTTCCCTCTTAAGCGTTCTTTTCCAAAACTTCTAGTGTTCTCTTTCGCTATTAAAAGTTTTATAAACTCTGTCTCGTTAACTACAGTTAGCTTTTGAAAACTTAATGTTTTCTAAAAGTTCTTTCTTTCCCTGGATCTGGCCTAAGTGTTCAATTCTATTCGAGTGTTAAAAGAATTTGGTCTTTTTTTAAAAGCTCTTTAGTAACTCTATCCATAGTTCTAGTGTTCTCTTTTCCAAGGTTTATATCTCTCTCTCTCTCTGGCTGGTTTATGTGTACGAAATAACTCGATGCTATTCGAGAAAGTTAAATGAATGTTCTCTTTCGATAGAAATCTTTATAAAATCTTGTTTAATAACTCTCTTGCCGGCTTAATGCTTCAGTGTTCTAATTCTCCCATTACATATTGAAAATTCTATATGAGAAAGTTTAAAAATAATGTGTAGAGAATTTGTATTTAGATTAGGGTACAAGCTTAAAAGCTAGTGTACTTTTCAACAACACTCTCTTATGCTTAGTTGTCTCTGAAAGAACACTTTCGTTAGTTAATCGATTCTAATGTCTATATGCTTTATAATTTGTGAATTATATCTCTCACAAACTCTCTCTCTCTTCTGTATAGATTTATGTTCTCTCTCGCTTAACAGAGCGCTTTAGTCTTATGCTTAGTTGTCTTTGAAAGAAAGATTTCTTGTTGTTAAGTAGATTTTTTAACTTCTGCTTTATAATTTTTAATTATTTCTCTCACAAACTTTCTCTCTCTCTCTTTTCTGTACAGATTTATGTTCTCTCTTGCTTAACAGAGAGCTTTTATCTTATGCTTAGTTGTCTTTGAAGGAACTTTTGATATATTTTAAGTTATTTAGTAGATTGCATAACTTCTGCTAACTAGAGTGCTATTTAAGATTACGGTCTTATGCTTAGTAGTCTCTAAAGGAACTCTTTCGTTAATTGAACGCTTTTTTGCTGTTAGGCATATTTGAACGAGATGTTTAGGTGATTTATAACTTCATAAATATATATCCAGCTTAAGACGCGACCAGTGAATAATTCTCTCAGTAGCTTAAAGGTTTTTAAATAATTTTCTAGCCTTTTTAAAGGGTTTCCAAAGAACTTATGCGTTAGTTTTAGGTAATTTCACACTCTAAAGTTTTTTAAGGAAATCTCTTTGAAAATTTCAAAATTTTAAAGAATTCTTCATAATAATAATGAAAAGAAACCATTTCCAAAACAAGTTTTTAAAAAACTTTCCTAAAAAGTGAAAAAATGCGTTAGAAAACTAAACTAAATAAATTTTGTAATTTATTCCTAAAAAAACAAATAATAAAAATAACAATTAATTAATTAACTGTCTATTAAATAGACAAAAACTTTTGAAATCTATACATAACTAATATTTATATATATTAACAAAAAAAAAAAATGAAATGAAATATATACACAAAATTATACGTTCCTATACAATAATGTATTATGCAAATATATATAAAAAAAATTAAATAACATAAAAAAATTTGTAATTTAGTAAAGTAAAGAAAATAATTATAATAAAAATGAAAGAAGAAAAAAAACTATTTAAAACAAATCCTATAGTTAGTAAGTTAAATAAAGAAATTAAATAAAACGCATATAAATAGTAAATAAAAAACAAATATAAACAGTATTATAATAAAAAAAAACTGTAGATAAAATCAACTAAAAAAATAAAATTTCATTAAAAATAAAAATAATTTACAAGAAAAAAGTTATTTAAAAAAAAAAAATCTATAACAATTTTAATTTTTCATAACTTTGATCAGTGATCGTGTTAAACTTAAATTTTTTTTTGGGAAAAATTTTAAATTTCTATTTTCTTGTAAATTATTTTTTTTATTTCAAATGTAAACTTTTATATACTAAACTCTAAAAATTAAAAGAAAAAGTATTATAAATTATACTGAAACAAAATAGAATGTGCCTGCGTAATATATTTTTAGCCAAAAAAAAAAAAAAAAAACTTAAAAAAATACAAAAAAAAATTGATAAATAATCTTTAAAATATTAAGTAAAAATATAAATAATATAAAAAAATAACTAAATAATTAAAAAAAAGATAACAAATGTATAGTTTAGTAAATAAACTTAGTAAATAATTAAAAAAATAATATTGCTACTATTCATAAAAGAAAAACAGAATAAAAACTATAATAAAACAGAGCTCAAATTTCCATAAAACTATAATTTTACAAAAAAATTTAGTTTTTAATTAAAAACTTTTAATTTTAAGTTAAATTGCATTGAAAAGTAAAAAAAATGTTTTTGAAAATTTTACAAAAATTATAACAATTTCGAATATTAAAAAAAAAAATCGGGTAAAGAACTGCCTATTAAAAGTTTGGTTTTTTTGTACTCTGAGCGAAACTTCCCGATAGGCCATGTCCATGTGATAATCCTGTCAAATGTGGTCGCCATTTTGTTTATGCCAACTAAGGGCGTATTGAAATGCTTATAGTTTTTAATGGATGATAATTAAAGAAAGAACAATATTCTCTCTAACTTAAGTGTTATTTAAGAAACTTTCACTCGAAAGCTCGTTTGCTTAACAAGAGTTATTGAAAAGTCTTTTAGCAGCAAAAAAATCTCTATTATATTGCTCTCTGTTTCTATTAATTGAAGTTTTTTTTTAAAAACTTTGACTTAAATCTACTTTCTCTTTTGCTCAAGTGCTATTTAAAAGTTAATCGCTTGAGAAGAAAGCTCAATCTTTCGGTTTATTAAGTTACAATGAGAGTTATATGAGTTATATTATACATATAAACCTTCATGCCAAAGCTTTCTGCACTTCAAGTATTATTTAAAACCTTTAACTCAGAATTTCTTACTCTCTCTCTCTTGCTTAAGTGTTGTTTAAAAGTTTATTAGTTGTGAAGAAAGCTCCATCTTTTTGTTTCTTAAGTTTTAATGAGAGCTATGAGATATATTATACATATGACAAAACATTTATTACTTCAAGTTTTATTTAAAACCTTTAATTCAAAATTTCTCACTCTATTTATTGCTTAGGTGTTATTTAAAAGTTTATCGAGTGAGAAAAGCCTTAATCTTTCGGTTTATTAAGTTACAATGAATGAATTATGAGTTATATTATACATATAAAACTTAATGACAAAGCTTTCCCCACTTCAAGTTTTATTTTAAACCTTTAACTCAAAATTTCTTTCTCTCTCTCTTGCTTAAGTGTTATTTAAAAGTTTACCATTTGAGAAAAAGCTCAATCTTATGGTTTATTAAGTTACAATGAAAGTTATACATATAAAGCTTCATGACAAAACTTTCATTACTTCAAGTTTTATTTAAAACCTTAACTCAAAATTTCTTTCTCTTTTCCACTTGCTTAAGTGTTATTTGAAAGTTTATTGGTTGAAAAGAAAGCTCTATAATTCTGTTTATTAACTTATAATGAGTGTTGTGAGATACTTTATACATAAAGGCTCATGAGAAAGCTTTTTGCCGATTGCATTAAACTCATAAAGAGCACTCTCGTTTTCTAAAATTTAAAAATTTCTTTCTTGTTCTCTTAATTAAATAAAGCTCTAATTTAAAGCAAATTTTGTTAAAGAAGTTTTACTTAAAATCCCCAGAGTTTGCTTAACAGTTGTTCTCGAGTTCATTAGTTCTTAAATTCATCTCTCTCCAAAGAGCAACAACGCAGCTCTCTAATCAATTTTGTTTGCTTTTTATACATGTATAAGCACAAGAGAAAGCTTTTAGCATTTAACTGTTATAAAACCACTATTACTGTTATAATCATGTAAAAGCTTTCTTTGGCGGCTGCTGAAGTGCTATTTAACTATTTAAAAAGGTCTTGAAATATTTCTTTTAAATTCTCTAAAGAAAAATTTAAAAATTTTCAAACTACTTTTCTGTGCAATGGAAATTTTTTTTTTTATAATTTAAACTTATTAATATTAAACCTTTAGTCCCAAATTAAAAACAACCAAATGCATAAAAAAATTAAAAATACAACAATGTTTAATACGTAAAAAAACAGGTTCCTATTAAATTAATCAAAAAAAAAACATTTAAAGAAAATTAAGTAAAATAATTAACAATTTTTGAAAGAATTTTTTTACAAAAAGAAAGAAAATGTTTAAAATTCCTAAAAAATATATATTATTTAAACAATTTTAGGAAGTACCTACAAAAACAACAGCAACAAGAAAAAGAGAAAAATTCCTTTAAAAAACACATAAAAATTCCTATTTAGTTAAAAGTTATATAAGTTATTAATTTAGTTGATTTAAAAACCCCAAAAGAAAACCTTAAGTATTATTAACTGAAAAAAGGAAAACTATATAGTAAATATTAAAAAAAAGAAAACAACAACTAAGACAAAGAAAAGGCAAATATATACAATATATTTTCAAATAAAAATTAAAAAAAAATGAAGAGAAAAATAAAAAATTAAAAAAAATAATAAAAAAAAACAAAAATGAATTTTTATTAAAAGAAAACAAAAAAATAATTAATTAACAATATAAAATAAAAAAATTAATAATATTTTTACTTTTTTTCTCTACTCTAGTTACACGTCGCTCTTTGGAAATGCGTGTACGTGCCACCGATCCCCGTCCTTGCCCTAAATGTGGCAAAATCTATCGTTCAGCCCATACTTTGCGTACTCATTTGGAAGATAAACACACTGTCTGTCCCGGTTATCGTTGCGTTTTGTGCGGTACTGTAGCCAAATCCCGCAATTCCTTACACTCTCATATGTCTCGTCAACATCGTGGTATTTCCACCAAAGATTTACCCGTTTTACCCATGCCCAGCGCTTTTGATCCCGAATTAGCTTCACGTCTTTTGGCCAAGGCTGGTGTTAAAATTTCAGCTGCTGAATTAAGAGCTCGCGCCTCTCCCACCAATAGCACGGGTGCTAATGGCCAGAAACTTGATATTAATATGGGTGTAGGCATGAAAGATGAAATGGATGATTCCGATGACGATCCCGAAGATTTGACTACTGGTGCTGGTTTTGGTGGCAGTACGAACAGTAATGATTTGAGCCGTTATCATGAGAGTTTGTTGAGTAACTTTGGTCATGCTAATACCACCATATCGCGTATACGTAATGAGGCTGCAGCGGCTGCCGCAGCAGCTGCTTTGGGCCAACAGAAGGATTTGGCTGGAGGACAAATACCCACTAGTAATGCTGCTGGTCAATCGCTATTGGATACATATTTGCAGTTTATAACAGAGAATACATTTGGTAAGTAGAGTTTAGGTTTAAAATCAATATTGTATTGTCTGTGGACTAGTCCACATAGTCGTCAATAAACTAATCCACATGCTAGTCCATAGACTATTTAATAGACCAGGCAATAGACTAGTCATGGATCAGTTGATAGATTAGTCAATAGATTAGTTCATGTGATGGACAATAGACTAGTATATGTCCTAGTCCATAGAATTATTAATTGATCAGTCTATATACTAGTCAATAGGCTAGTCAATAGATTAGTCAATCCATTGGCTAGTCAATTGACAAGTATATATGCTAATCTATATGTTAGTCAATAGACTAGTTAATAGACTTCTCATGCATCAGTCCATTGATTAGTCAATGGATCAGACTATAAACTAGTCAATGGATCAGACTATATACTAGACTAGTCCATATACTAGTCAATAGACTAATCTATATACTAGTCAATAGACTAGTCAATAGACTAGTCTATATACTGGTCAATAGACTAGTTTATATACTAGTCTATAGGCTAGTCTAGTCAAATATTAGTCGATTGACTAGCCCTTAGAAAAGTCAATAAACTGTTCTATAGACTAATCCATAAACTAATCAATAGTCTAGTCAATATACTAATCCATTCGCTAGTCAATGGCCTAGTCTATATGCTAGTCAAAAGTCTAGTTAATAGACTTGTCACGTATCAGTCCATTGACTAGTCAATGAAACAGACTAGACTATAACCTAGGCCATGTATTAGTCCATGGGCTAGTCAAGGATTAGTCTATTGACTAGTCCATAGAAAAGTCAATAGACTGTTCTATAGACTAGTCCGTAGACTAGTTAGTAGACTGGATCATAGACTAGTCCAGACTTAAGTCCATTAACCAGTTTAGAGACTAGTCTATAAACTAGACCTCTTACAAAAACCTTTTCTTAAAATCAATTCTTCTAAAGTTTATTTACCTACGAATTTACTAATTACCCCTTTTCCTCTTTTTAGGC